CCTCCTGGGGACATAGGACAGGGCCACGGCTGAGTGTGTCCCGGGGAGCCTTGGGGGGGCTGCAGGAAAGTAAAGCTTTAAAGGGAATTGGGGTGCAGAGCAGCTGCCGTGCACCCACCAAAGGGGCACCCAGCACCACGTGGGGCCCAGCACCCTCTGCACAGCTTGCCCGGTGGGGTGCCAGCCCAAGAGCCACCACCCTTGTCCCCCTGCCACAGCCAAAACCACCCGACCTCACTGCATCCCTGAGCAGCACCAGGACCCACAGGAGATGGGCTCCAGCACCACGGCAGCCCTGATCCTGCTCGGGGACCCCCAGGGCTGCTCCCGGGCACCCACCTGGCAGCACCCACCCACACCGTGCCCTCGTGGCTCCCATCACCCCAATAACCCACTGCTCTCTCCCTGCTTTCCTTGCACAGCTCTTTGGCTTCGTCTACGCCTGCTACGTCAGCAAAGTGTTCCTGGAGGAAGAGGACAGCTGTGAGTGCTTCTGTTCTTCATGGGAGGGGGACACCCCCAGTGCCACGGGGCTGGGGGAGCGACGTCTAGATCGCTGAACCCCTTTATTTGGGTTTTTTTTGCCCCATTTTTCCATCTGCAAGGAGGCAGATGCATTGGGGTGTGATGTGCCACCCGCAGTGCCCCCATCCCAGCCCTGGGGAGGGGGCTGGACCCTGGCCAGGGCAGGGAGAGGAGGGGGAAGTGGAGGCTCAGCCCTGAGCTGCTGCGTCTCCCAGGCACTCACAGCCTTCGGGGGCAGAGGTGGGACCAGTTTGGTGTCATCCCAGGTGAGAGGTCAGGTCTTGTCCCCACACCAGCCTGAGGAGAGCCACCCGCAGTGCCCCCATCCCAGCCCTGGGGAGGGGGCTGGACCCTGGCCAGGGCAGGGAGAGGAGGGGGAAGTGGAGGCTCAGCCCTGAGCTGCTGCGTCTCCCAGGCACTCACAGCCTTCGGGGGCAGAGGTGGGACCAGTTTGGTGTCATCCCAGGTGAGAGGTCAGGTCTTGTCCCCACACCAGCCTGAGGAGAGCATCGTGGTGCTGAGTCAGGTTCCTGCT